ACAGATTGGGTGCTTTAGAACATTTATGAATTAGTTGTGATGAAAATACTGTTGTTACCCGGATATGGTCCTCTTGTCTTTATCACAATCCTTTCATTTGCTATTCGATTGCGAGATCACCAGATACGACTTACCACCGAAACTAGCAATTAAAGACCAAACAGCCTATTGTTGATGCGCATCAACTAACGCAACTTGGTAGTGACATAAAAGCTCTATGACGTTGTTTCTAGCCATGAAAAAAAACCCATCAAATTATAACGTCCTATTTCGCGTTTTTCACGGATTCCAACATGGTGTACGCTTAAAACTACGTCTTCCAAAAGTGGAATTAAGCGTCGCACTGATACCTAGTGGAAATTAAACACAAATGGACACAAAAGATACTACACTATCTGTTACCTCGGTTCTAATAAAAATAATAATAAAAATATAAATTTTGAACTCGGCTTTTTGCATTTGCGCTGATCTGCATTTCACTTTTTTTTCTTTCGCTTGCGCCGATTTTGTCTTTCATTTGCGCCGATTGTGTACAGGTAAATTATAGGTGAAAGTTATTTTTTTATTTATCATATAAACCTCTTCCGTTAGCCAGTTGTACATATATATGTTATGAATTGTCAATTATAACATGTATATAACTGTTGTCCCCTGCTCACAAAGGCCGGGGAGGTGGGAGTAGAATTTCGAACAGGATAAGTCAATTTAAAAGATATGTGTGCACTCTGTTTACTTCCACTAAAATTACGGAGTAAAATTCTATTTACAGCATTTCAAAGCACCACAATAAAATCCATAAAAATGTGATACTAGTACAATGAACTATTATCTTGCCGAGAATTTATATGCCACACATCTGATATATTCCTTTCTTGTCATTTTATCTTTTCTATACGTGTTGTACTTGCCAATAACGAAGTCCATCTTTTCTTTCTCGTGTCAAAACGAAGTTCTCGAATAATATGACCAAAATTATCTTAAACATAAGGGAACACTATTTATATCCATATATTACCATGCAATATACATTCAAGGTTTACTACATGTACATGTATTTACTCGTAAAGCAAATAAAGTATCGGGCTAGTGATAAAAAAAATAAAATAGGCGCTCATGAAAGAATCAAATCGGCGCAAATTAAAGATCGAAATTTTTTTAAATCGGCGCAAATATCGTACGCCCGTGTAACTTTACACTGGTAAATTGATATGACTTACGCTTAGAATTTTAACTTAATATGTGATTTTCGAAACTTAGTTTTCAGAAGGTTAGGCCGATAAACAATACTTTCTAGAGGTTTCGATATACTGGCAACGTATGCATGTTGAGATTAACTTATTTCTTTAAGATTCTCGTAAAATAATGGTGATCTTGCAATGAAGTTAAATTTTATCTATACTGCTTAATTGACAAAATCTTATAGTAAAAATAAAAATGATAAAGGTTCATTGTCTTTTGTCATTTGTTTCATTTCAAATTGTCTCAAGGAAAAATGATAAAGATTTCGCCTGATCTCACAGAAGCTTAAGGCAAACATATAAGAAATTAATATACTCAGTGAATGTGAATTAAAATAAAGATTTACGGTTTTAAAAACTAAACTTGTTGTAAATTTAACTTATGACAAAAACAATTGCTTCAAGAATAAGATCCAACATAAAATTTCTCACTTTCAAAAAGCTACAATGACCGGAAAGATTGAAAACAAATTTCGATTTTCAATGCCGGCAATCTATACATACAACCTTGTCTTTGTTTTAATTTCCAAAATGAGCTATTTAGATTCATAATATTTCATCCTGTTTTGAGAAATACTTTATAGTTTTCAACGGAAAATTATTTCTTAGATTCTAAATCAAATTTTGAATTAAAAACTTATTTGTATTTTATATTTACTGTCTCGTTTGTTCAAAACACGTGAGGTAGTAATAACGGGGATCGTATTTTATGATAGGTTAAATGGATGTAAAACGTTTTAGAATCAAAAACTTTAATTCATATATTATACCTATAATTTTAAATATTCAGAAAAAATGAATCCACAAACTAGTCTTAGTCGGGACACATAATGGTATAAAGAAGTCCGTCCGTGCTAATGTCTGTCCGTCTGTCAACAATATCGAAAGAGTGCGCTAGGGCGAAGTTCTGAAACTGACGCGACAAAAAAACCAACACATTTAGTCTAATATAGTCAAATAGTCTGTAAGTTAGCCAGTGTCATCTTTCATTTCTCTTTTTATTTTCAATGATTTTGCTAATGAGAGGGAGAGGACAAAAACAGACTTTCCTTTTTAAAGCGTCGTGAAAGATTATTTCGAACAATTTTTCATTCCGACGGATGGTGTTTCTGAAGGTTAATTTTGTGCGGCAAAAACATCATGAGATCTGATACTGGAGTCTGTTTCACAAAAAAACTTACGACTAAGATTGATCGTAAGTATACTGAATTGTTCATGACTTACGATCAATCTTAGTCGTAAGTTTTTTGTGAAACCGACTCCTGATACATACATGTGATCTCTTGTATTACCGGATAATAAAGTAGGTGAGTATAGTTGTTATTCTTAATTCTTGAAAATTTAAATTTCGGTTTCAAACGTCCAATTTGCAATTTTTTTCAAACAGTACGTCAGCAAGGAAAACTTGAACTATGACGTCAGATTCAATGTTCCGAAGAAAGACAACTCTTTTCTTCAAAACGAACGAGAAAAAAACATGAAAGTTAATCATAACTTTTTTGAAAGGTCGGTGACATATATAATTTTTTGCTTTATTTTGAAGAGTACATATGGCACTTTCCTTCTTGAAATTTTTATGAAAAAATCACTGGTAGATATTTTTTAATACTTGAAACGTTATTCATTCTTGCGTTTTATTTTTGGCGGGAATGAAATAAATCATATGTTTTAAGATCAAAACAATAAGAGTCTTAAACTCTTAAACCTGTATTTGATAGACACAAATCTACTATTTAACATGAAACAAGAATTATGCTTGTAGGTTTGATATAATGGGATTTTTTGAGAGTTTAAATAACAAGCAAATATCATGTTAATATTCGGGAAAACACGAAACTGAGGTTGCTATAGTGACAAAACTAAGTCGGTGACCCCCAATTTTTTTTTTATCATATTTTGTTCCTCAAATCATGAAATACCTTCACACAAAATTTTAAGGAAAAATCACTGGTAGAACTGAATAGGCTGTTTGTTCTTTAACCTGGTGGGTTCCATTAGTTGATCAGAAACGATTTACCATTCCGGAGTGTCTGAGTTCACCCATGGTTTTATTTTGGGGTTCTTGTTACCCTATATTTAATACTCTTCAATTTTGTATTTTATTTGGTCTTTTTTACCTTTTTGTTTCGAGCGTCACTGATGCGTCTTTTTTTTTTAGACGAAACGCGCGTCTTGCGTACACAATGTTAAGCTTGGTATGATGAGTTCATTTTTTTTGTTGACTGTTGTTTGTCGTTTGGTCGTTTTTCTTTTTGGTTACGCTATCGCTCGTTTCAATTCGACTTATGATTTTTTATTTCCCCCTTGGTATCGTGTCTCTCTCCTAATTCTACCAATTACTAGTCTGTTATTAAATTACTAACAAGTAATTGTATATGCATGTTAAGAATGTTCGCTACTCTTGTTTTTTTACTTTAATGTAAGATATTAGGAATCCTCTAGTTTTATTCATGTAGTGCCAATACAAATTTTGCCCGCTAACCCCTTTTTTTCTTTTGATAATTTTATTACAAATTGTTTAAAGCCGTTTTTTAAAATCTTTTATTACATTGGTTGCAATGAATTACATTGATTTCCCAGTGAAATAAAAACCGATAATTTCACATGTGAAATAAACGTGGTTATTTCACTCCTCTGACGTCATACAACAATAGGCGTTGTCAAGACGTCGATAACGTCGGATCAAAACAAATTGTGAATGCATAGAAAAAGATATAGTTCCTTACGTTTTCTACTTTAATTTCACAAAAAAGACATTTGCCAATGTAATAAAAAGAATAACTAATCAAAGAATTCAAATATCGAAAAATATTCAACTCGTGACCGAACAACACTGATAATGAACTCATGCGCTACGCGCATTCGTGAATTAATGTGTTGTTCGGTCACTCGTTTAATATTTTTCTCTATTTGAATTCTTCGATTAGTTATTCTATAAATAAAATCCTTGTTATTTTTTCATGGTTTTTGAAAGAAAAAAGGTGACAATGTTAAATGTATGAAACATCTACAGAGAATCATTTCCCGCTAAATTTTCAATTGATTATATCTCAAAAACAAGGACACGAACCTGTCATTTTTTTCTTCTCTTTAAGTTCCGTTATCTATATACTTTAAATTTATAACAGTCTTTTAAAAAGCTTGTTATTTTGAAACAGAGGAGTGAACATCCTTAAAGTAAATTAGTGTAATCTTAAATTATTTAATAATAGATCACGTACAGTAATAAAAAAATTCAAGTGCCCGTACCATGGACACTTTTGGAAACACAATATATATTGAATTAAACGCACTATAACTAAACATTTTAAAGTAGTGATAAATTGAACCGACACAAAATCAAGATACTTGCGTCACACTCTGTAATTTACTGAAACTTTTCTTTTCTAAAAATATATTATCGGTTCAAAAGTACAAAAATAATAACAATTGCCATTAATAATGCAAAGTACAGATAGTAAACAATAACATTCATTAAAACGAATTATAAACATAGATCTAAACTGACATAAAAATTGCACGCTTTTAGAATCTTTGCAATTTCTTAATTAGTCTAAAGCGTAGAAGCGAAATGGAATCATAATCTAACTATTATTGAAACTGACAAGACGTGATTAAGAACCAGTTACATAGCTCATTTATTTATCAATCATTCTCATTTGCCAAATGGATTATTACGCCGTAAGATGATTTAAAGTCATAAATAATTGGCAATATCGGAAATTGCTCGAATACTTTATTTAACATCAAGTTAGTATTGTTGAGGGGTAAACATTGAGCGAGATATCATGAAGTTCGCTATATTTTTATGTTTAATTCTATCTACTTTTAAATACACTTTACAATGTGGATGTCCTGCAGTTTATACACAGCAGTTAGTTTGTTATTCTGACATTGGTAAGTAGTTTTCTGGAATCTTTGTTTTCTTGCTTTCTTTGCAAAAGTTTTTTACCGACTGTCCATGTGTACATGGTGTACGTGTTGCATTAAGGATGTTCGCTCCTCTTGTTTTTGTATTTTTGCCAGATATTCGAAATTCTCTGGTTTTATCGATGTAGTGCCATTAAAAAATTTTGCCCACTAACCCCTACTTTTCTTTTCATAATTTGATTAAATATAGTTTAAAAATGCCATCTTTGAAAATCTTATCAAATCCTTGTTATTTTTTCATACTTTTAGACAGAAAAAAAGGTGTCAATGTTAAATGCATGGAAAATCTAGAGAGAATCATTTCCCGCCAAATTTTCAATGGCTTATATCTCGAAAACAAGCACACGCACCCTTCATTTTTATCTGCTTTTTTAGTTCCTTTATTTATATACTATCAAATGATAACAGTCTTTTAAAAAGCTTATTATTTTGAAACAGAGTAGCGAACATCCTTAAAGAGAATGGTTTGACAAATAACGATATTGCAGTTTCAAAGTCCTATTCATATGAATTAGAAAATAAAAATATAATAAGAGCATGTATAAAAATTAAAAGTTACACAAAGTTTAAAAATATCATCGATAGTGTATTGTTTTATCACAGGAAGTGGACAATCTTAGAGGTTTTAAGGATGCTATGCCGAAATGTGCCAACATAAAAAGTTGATTTTGCGTCCGCATCTCATTCCCATTTTCTGTTTAATTTATTTGAGGGTCCGGGTATGTTTTACAGAAAAGAGAATATTGGCCAATACAAATAGTGAATAGAAAAAAATATCAAAAATGTATAAATAATAGAGAATAATTGGGTGCAAAAGTATAAAGAATAACTGTGGAAAATGGAAGAATTTAGTAAAACTATACTGATTACAGAAAAGAACGATGTACAGAATAAAGAAATCTCTTTCTTACAAAAAAGTAAATAATTATTATAGTAAAATCATATACATGAGAATTTTTACGGAATAAGCGTTATTTTTTTTAAAGATAAAGAAAAATTCCCTAAAGATTAGAAGAATACAGAAATTAAGGATCAAATCCAGACCCTCTTACATTTGTTATATTAAGCACGATTTCACATACAATGCTAATTAAAAAATAAGTAATCCCGTCCTCCAATACTACAAGTAGTCGATATATCGCGTTTACTGATCATTATCTGTTTTCTTCTTTCGACTCTGTGATCCTTTTTATATATCATACCTATATCAGGAAAATATCATAAGTTATTCACCGAGTTTTTTTGTGTAGTTTTTATTATGGAAATATTTGTGTTTACTTGAAGAAAACCTAATAAGTTCTAGTTCAAGTGATCAATTTCTGATAAATATTATGATGTCGGAGATAAGTCTTAGTTTAGTTGATAATACAAATCAATCTATTATGGATTTAACGAAGAGCTCAACAGCTTAATACAGACATAGTGAAGACCGACACACGTTTGTGGCTATTATGATCAATAGATAGGTGTATGTACCTTTAAGTGGATAGGGTCTGGATGGGTGGGGGGCATTCATTTCTGTACTCTTTAATTTTTTAGGCCATTTTATCCATTTTTTATAGTTTTTGCCCACTATTTTCTATTCCTTATATTTTAGCACCTCATTATTCTCTATTCTTAATTTTTTGGTCCATTTTTTCTCTATTCTTTATACTATATGTCCATTATTCTCTATTCTGTAAACCCCTATCCACACCCTCATATATCTGACATTTAATTAATTTACATTTGTTTTACATTGTACTTTTTTTGTTTCGATTGTGTCGGTTATTGCTCAACAGATGATGTACTTGTAATACGTGCTAAAACAACTCCACTGGGTATGGGACCAGAAAAAAGAACCTGTAAAATAAAATAGAACAACACAAAAAACGTGTCAAAGTACTAAGTATATATTCTGTTTGTAAGATGTTTCCATTTTTATATTTAACTTATGTTTATCTTCAATAGCATTATTCTCGCTGTGTTGAAGACCCGTTGGTGGACTTCGGCTGTTTTTTGCTCTTCGGTCGGGTTGTTGTCTCTTTGACATATTCACCATTTCCATTCTCAATTTTACTATCCATCATATTTAATGGAAAGATTTTTTTGGCTAGGGTGTCTTAATTAAAATTGATAGAATTTTTTAATAATTTGTCAAAATGAAGTATTTATCATGCTTTTTTCAAAAATATGATAAAAAGTATGGGTCACCGGACTTTTTTCATGCTACAGGTAGTGCAAAATTGTCAGATTTTGTATAGATAATGCATGGAAAATCAAATTTTGTGTGATAAAAAGAAAACTACCTGATAGAACTTTCGGATATAATGTGAGAAGATAGCTCTTATAACATGCTTTCAGATAAGAAAAATAATATGGGGTCACCGAACTTGTTTTCTTGCTACAGATTAAAATAGTTAAATTCACAACACTTTCTACTATAAAAATGACTTTATCGGAGTTATCACCCCTTATTTGGCAAAGTTGAAAACAAATTAAAAAACACAAATAAGGTGTTTCTGAGAAATTACAGCAATAATTATGATAAAACATACAATTTTCTATAATTATATCAAAAGTCTTACACATAAATTGCATACTACTCTAAAAATTTGCTCATTTAATCAAAAATCTAGACCAACGTTATCTGCTACTTCAGAATCCAAGATGGAAGAAGACACCCGAGCCACCTGAAACAAATGATGATAAAACAAAAGAGTAAACAAGATGTTTTATTTAGAAAGTGTAAAGCAATGCTGGGTGATAGAAATTAAAACCTGATCTTACATGAGGGTCCGGATGGAGTTTGAAGAATATAGAGAATAATGAGCAAAATGTGCAGAATAAATGGCAAAAAAAAATAGGGCTAAAATATAAAGAATAGAGAATAATGGGGTGCTAAAATATAAAGAATAGAGAATAACGGGCAAAAAAATATAACAATACAGAATAATGGGGAAAAAATATAAAGAATACAGAAAAATGACCTAGAAAATTAAATAATATACAGAAATGAAGGACCCCATCCAGATCCTCTTACATAATCTTGCATGTTTTAAAATAAATCATATTCCATGTACATTCTTTTGCAATTCCAAAATACATATCTTATAAAACTACAAATATATTGAAATATTGTCTCTATTTAAGTTAGTATGTGGTAGAGAGTTTTACATTAATTTGTTTTCTTCAGAATAATTAATATTAATAAGTAAATTTATTATATGTATTTTAAGAGTTCATCAATTCTTCTATTCTCTTATGCAATCTTATTTTCTTGGTATGTTATATCTTCTTAGTACTGTAGTTCTACTCTATTTTTCTGGTTCATTAGTCAGTCAGTCATGTGTCATATTATCTTGAATTCTATTGGTCATAGTCACTGAGTTCAAAGTTTTACCACACTTTTTGAATACCTTGAGAGAGAAAGATATATATTACAGCAGCCATATTTAAGTTATTTATATTAGTTATATTCTGGACACTAATTTCATATTAATCAGGACCAGAATATCTTGATGTAATTATGATCTGGTGATGTTTCCAAATAAGAGATAGACCTTTGTACCATATACATGGGTTATCTATTTATTTATGTCGTATAAATAAAATATCTTTAAACTTGACGAATCCTTTTATTCCGTCCAAGAACCCTGTTACAAGTATTTTACATAAGTATAATGGACAATTAAACAAGTTGTATTAACTTGAAATTTAAGGCCATAATTTCATGAAAATGTGTTAATAACAAGATCAAAGGTTCCTTCGTTTCTTGATTCTCTAATTTTTAGACCATTTTTCTCTATGCTTCATTTATTTTGCCCCTTATTGTCTACTCTATATATTTTTGGCACACCATCTAATAGGGTTTGCTTGTAAAAAATGTAAAAACAATTATTTCTAGACCATATGGGTCAATATCCCCAATGCGCCTCCAATTGAGGAACACAAAAGTTGTGTGTAAACAAAAAATCTCTGTGTAGTGATATTGGACATGTTTCAATTTTTAACAAGTGGCTGAGCTTAACCATTTGTGTTGATCTGGAAAGTAGAGGACCATAGAATAAATGTGTAAAAACTATGGAGTTATTAAATGTATTCAAAGTATTAAATTTTCAAAGAAATTATTGTGTGAAAAAAGGGATTTTTTACCATGAAGAGCCGCATCACGAAAGGATTTTCGGGGTATGCTAATTTACGGAAAAATGAATCACACTTCGTACCCCGAAAATTTAACCACATATGTGAAAATGTCTCAGCTTTGAAACGAGCCATCATACATATCCAAGTTTACGATATGGACTGAGCTAGAGAAGAAAACGTTACCATTACCGCCTATGTAGAAACAATTGCGCATATTGCCCCATATGTCATATCAGTTCCCTAAAAACACAGTACAAACCCTGCACTTCCAACAGAACAACAACTAACCAGAACAAGGCAATAAACAAAAAACGGCACATATTTGGATGAAAGGATCAAAATGAGCTCGCTACTACAGAAAGATAGCTAAACAAATGTTATTAGGTCTTCTTCATGTTGGCTAGTAGAAGATGTAAATAAAAAATTGATGATAAGGATCACAGGAATCATAAAAATAACATCAACCAACAACTACCCTACCCCGACAAAAAAAGTACAAACAACAGCGAACAACACATTGTCCAGATAGGATGAATTTGTATAGACACACAATGTTGTACAAACAAATACAAACAATAGCGAACAATACACTGTCCTGATAGGATGAATTTGTATAGACACACAATGTTGTACAAACAAATACAAACAATAGCGAACAATACACTGTCCAGATAGGATGAGTTTGTATAGACACACAATGTTGTACAAACAAAGATAAACAACAGCGAACAACACATGGTCCAGATAGGATGAATTTATATAAACACACAATGTTGTGGGGTTTAACTCGTTTTACGTGGGGACATAACTCCCCATTTGTTTATTTAGATTGATTGTTGCCG